CCCACATGGGTGAGCTTTCTCTAACTCAACACAGACTGTCACATGGTGGAAGAGGAGCCCAGACCACCAAGGACCACCCCCCACCCTCACCCCAGCACATGAGCAAAGCCAGTGGCCTGAAAAAGAAAGCCTGAGACTACCAACATAAAAATACACCCCAGAGGAAGCATATAGTTTACAAAGCAGAAATCACCTTTGAAATTAAAAGTTAAATTAAATGTAAAAATCTTAAATATATTCAGACATCAAGAAGATGTTAGAGCCATAAAGCAAGGGCAAGAGGTGGTGAAAAGGAGCGATCAGAAAACTTACCCTCAAAAAATCATAGGTATCAAATGTGTTGTTGATATTTAAAATTAAACAGAGGGGCTTGAAGGTGAGGTTGAGAAATCCCTCTGACGCAGAACAAAATGTCAAAGAGGTAGAAAGTATGAGGGAAAAGAAACCAGCATGAGGGACCCACCCGGGGGGTTTGGCCTCTGCTGTGTGGGATTCCCAGAGGGAGCACAGCAAGGACACAGGGGGACGAGAAAATGCAACCCCAGGGAGGAACACATCCCACAGTGGAAGACACAGCCTCCAGGTTGAAAAGACTAAGCAATGGCAAGAAAAATGAATGGGGAAAACCCAGACACATCCTGTTGAAATTGCAGAACATTAGGGATAATAAGGGGTTCCCAAAAGCATCCCCAGAGAACAAAACAAACAGAAGTCATCTACGGAAAAATAAATGTCAGACTGGCATCAGACTTGCCATTAACAACACTGCATGCAACAAACTTCAGGAACAGTGGTCACAAAGTCCTGGTGACAGAAATCTAGCTTGTGCTTCCAAACATAAGCATGCTATAAATAAACAGAGGAGTAGAAACGTATGTAAACAGCATGTAAGCGAGCAGTAAACATGCCAGCATGTTATTGGTAATAGATATATTAAATAAGCATGGGTGTTTTTCTAAAACTAAGTGAGATGTATTTTTTTGTGCAGTCATCTGCTTTTCAACATTTTTTTAAAGCAGCAAAAATCACATCCAAAAGAATAAAATACCTAGCAATAAATTTAACCAAGGGGTGAAAGACTTGTACAGGGATAACTATAAAACACTGCCACAAGAGCGGAAGAAACAAGCGTAGGTGGAAGGACATCCCATGTTCATGGATGGGAAGACAATGTTAAGGTGACAGTACCACCCAAAGTGACCTGCAGATTCAATGGAATCCTTATCGAAATCCCAAAGCTTTTTTCTCTAGAAATGAAAAAGCTGATCCTCAAAATCATACCAAATTGATAGGGGCCTAGAAGAGAATAATCTTAGAAAAGAGGAAGAAAGTTGGAGGATTCACAATTGCTAATTTCAAAATTTACTACAAAAGTACAGCGATTGAACCAGCATCCAAGGACAGACATATAGAATGAAGGAATAAAGTTGAGAGTCCAGAGACACACCCATATATTTATGGCCAATTGATTTTTGACAAGGGTTTCAAGACTATTCAGTGGGGGAAGAAATAATCTTTTCAACAAATGGTGCTGGAAAAACTGGATTTCTACATGCAAAATAACACAGTTGGACCCCCCCACCTCACCCAACATACAAAAATTAACTAAAAAATAGATAAACATCAGGGCACCTGCGTGGCTCAGTCGGTTGGGCAGCTACCTTCAGCTCAGGTCATGATCCCAGGGTCCTGGGTTCGAGCCCCGCATCAGGCTCCATGCTCGGCGGGGAGTCTGCTTCTCCCTCTTCCTCTGCCTGCCTGCCACTCCCCCTGCTTGTGCTCTCTCTCTCTCTCTCACTATCTCTCTCTGTGTCAAATAAATAAATAAAATCTTTTTTAAAAAATGGATAAACATCCCAAGCATAAGAGCTAAAACCAAAATGTCTTAGAAGAAAACACAGGGGAAACACTTTGTGATCTTGGATTTGACAATGGATTCTTAGCTACGACGCCAAAAGCATGAAGATCAAAAGAAAAACATAAGTTGGACTTCACCAAAATTCAAAACTTTAGTGACTCAAAAGGCACCACCAAGAAAGTGACAAGACAATCTACAGAATGGGAGAAAATATTTGCAAATCGTGTATCTGATAAGAGTTTAATATCCAGAATATATAAAGAACTCATACAACTCAGCACCAAAAAGACAAGCAAGCTGATTTAACAGCGGGCAAAGGACGTGAACGGACATTTCCCCAACAAAATTGTACAGATGGTCAACACACACGAAAAAATGTTCCACGTTATTAGTCATCAGGGAAATGCAAACCACAACCACAATACTATTTCACATCCACTAGGAGGGCTGTAATTTAAAAAGGAAGAAAAAGAACCAGTGTTGGTGAGCATGTGGAGAGATTGGAACCCTCAACATTTGCCCGTGGGAATATAGCGGGGAGCACCTCTGTGGGAACACTTGGGCACTCACCATATGCCGCCGGAAATTCCACTCCTAAGAATATACCTTAAGAAAGGGTAAAGGGGATTCAGATGATCTTTGTAGCATTATTCACAACAGCCAAAAGGTAAAAGCAACCCAGAGGTCCAAGGACAGGTGGACGGATAAACAAAATGTGGTCCATCCACTCGGTGGGGTGTTCTTCACCATGAACTGAAAGAAGAGCAGGCACCTGCTACCTGGGTGAACCTCGCAGACGTGACGTCGAGTGAAATAAGCTGGTCCCGGAGGGACAGGTACTGCCCGGTCCCTCGTGTAGGAGGGACTAGGGGGCCGGATTCAGACACAGGGAGTAGGATGGGGTGCCGGGGGCAGGGGCGACTACGGAACGGGGGAGTGGTGCTTAATGGGGGCAGAGTTTCAGATCAGGATGACGGTAAAGTCCGGAAGATGGAAGGTGGGGACAGCTGCACAACAATGGGAATGTACTTAAGGTAACTTTCAGGCTCTGCACTGCCCCTCCTCACTGTGGCCCTTGGAACACTCGCCTGTTGGGTGGCCATGAGTGTGAACGTCGCTGGCCTCCCAGGGCCCAAGCGTGCGCATTTGGGTGGGTGTCGGAGGGGAGTGGGCAGCGGAGGGCCGAGGCGAGCACTGAGAGATGGAATGCATCAGCCCCCCAGGCACTCGCCTGGAAAGCTCGGACCGCCTAACCGATCTCCTGTGAGCTCCAGCCCCCACCTGACAACAGCCAGCCCGAGTTGGCGCAGCCTCCCCAGAAAGTCAGGAAAGACGGGACCACCTCATCTCTTTGGAATCCAGGGGCCTCACCGCAGAGTGCCAGCTGCAAACCCAGATGGGCTCCCCAGCAAAGACCCTCCTCACATTCACTCCCCGTCTCTCTGCGAACCCCTACCTGCTCAGCAGCATGCCAAGTCTCAGTCCTACTGCGTGACCCTCAGTTAAATCTGGCTTCCCCACTGGTCACTAGTGTCTGGCCGCACTGCCCACTGACCGTGGCCACGTGTGTCCTGTCCATGCCCAGTGGGAGCGGGGGCTGCTCCAGAGAACCCAGCACCTGCCCCTGCCTCAGCTCAGGAAGCAGGAGTCTGTGGACCAGCCCCACCGGGGCCCTTGGCCGGTATCAGCTACACCTCACCACGCTCGAGCTTTGGGCTCTAGCTTGGCTCCTGGGAGCCCCAGACTCCCCAGAGATGCCCCCACCACCTCCAGGAGGGGACTCCAAGCCGTGGGGAGCCACCATTCTATTCTTGAGGCTTCTGGGCACTCCCCCCCTGGCCCCCAGGTGCCGCCGCAGACCGGCCTCCCCAGCACAGAACGTGGCACCTGGGCCGGCTCCTGCGCACTTCTCAGACCTCCGCCGCGAGGGCGGGCAGTTGGGCGGCAATCGTGGTACAAAGCTGGCAGTCCTGGCCAGGCCACCTGCAGGGGCCTCCCCGGCCATGCCCCCACTAGGCTCAGGCTCCCTCAGGGCGGCCAGAGCCCCGACACCTGAGACCCCTTCTTGCCCAAGTGCCTGGTCCCCAGTGTGCCAACTGATGCAGCTCAGGAGCACCCCCTGCTCCACACCCAGGACCCCTGCAGGCGGTACCGCTGCGCTGAGCACCTGCCCAGCCACCAATGCTCCCTGAGGGCCCGGACCCTCACCCCGTCAGACTCTCCGGCGCCAAGCAGCCCTCCCTCACTCTCAGCTGGGTGAAGTCTCGCTCACCCTTACCAACGGCCTGCCTCCTGCAAGCTCACCCCCCCACCATGTTTGTGCACATTCCTGCCATAATAAATGCAAAGGCCGGTGCCTTCATAGAAGCAGCTCCTTGTCAGGTGGTTCCAGCTGCCGGGCACCCACTGTGCACCTGCCCAGACTCCCGCACCAGTAGGTCTAAATGGCCCCTCTCCCAGAAGCCAGATTGCTCTCTGCTTTCCGGGGCACCAGAGTCTGTGGTTGAGAACACGGGCCGCGGGTTCTGATCCAGGCTCTTCTGCTCACTTGTGCGGGCTTTGGCGCAAGTGCTTCCTTGTGCCTGTTTCCCCATTGGTAAAGTGGGAACCATAGATCCCGCTTCACAAGGTTGTTGTAAGGGTCACTGAGTTGACATGTACAAAGCTGCTCAGAATACTTGCTGGCATAGAAGATCAATTACACATAAGTGTTTGCTAATATGCTAAAAATACAGCTCCCAGCCATTCGTTGGTTCGTGGACTCAGGAGAGAATTTATATCCCCAAATAAAGATGATATGAAAAAGAAGAACAAAATATGTGTATGATTCCACTGAGTGTTGAGGAGCATGGGCATGAATAGTACGGAGCCCCAGAGAGATGCTGGGAGCAGGGGTGGGGGTGGTGTCAAGAGCCACTGACCCTCCTGGGTCATGAATGATGAGCTACCAGCTGTGGGCCCGTGACACGAATCCTCAGGGACCTGCTTCCACAACAAGGAAACAAGCTTTTCAGGGCCTCGTGATGGATAGTACACAGCCCTGAGGTGTATATAAGCCCCAAACACCCTGAGCGCCTCACACACACTCACACACACACTCACACTCACACGCACACCCTCCTCCAGCCCCACCGCCCCCACCATGGCCGCGTCCACCCTGTCCGTCTGCTCCAGCGACCTGAGCTACGGCAGCCGCGTCTGCCTGCCCGGCTCCTGGGACTCCTGCCCCGACTCCTCCTGGCGGGTGGACAACTGCCCAGAGAGCTGCTGCGAGCCTCCCTGCTGCACACCACCCTGCTGCGCCCCCAGCTGTTGCCAGTCCAGCGGCTGCACACCCAGCGGCTGTGCCCCAGCCTCCTGCCTGACCCTCATCTGCACCCCCGTGAGCGGCGGGTCCAGCCCCTGCCAATCAGCCTGCACCAGCTCCTGCCAGCCCTCCTGCTGCAGCTCCTCCCCCTGCCAGGAAGCCTGCGGCACGTTCGTCGGCTGCACCCCTGTCTGCTGCGAGACCTCCCCCTGCTTGGCCTCCTCATGCTGCCAACAGTCCAGCTGCCAGCCCTCCTGCTGCAGCTCCTCCCCCTGCCAGGAAGCCTGCGGTGCGTCCGTCTGCTACACCCCTGTCTGCTGCAAGCCCATCTGCTGCACCCCTGTCTGCTGCAAGCCCGTCTGCTGCACCCCTGCCTGCTGCAAGCCCCTCTGCTTCACCCCTGTCTGCTGCACCCCTGTCTACTGCAAGACCTCCCCCTGCTCAGCCCCCTCCTGCTGCCGGCCCAGCCCCTGCTCCTCGTCCTGCTGCAGACCCTCCTCCTGCGTGTCCCTGCTCTGCCGGCCCGTGTGCAGGCCCGCCTGCTGCGTGTGCGCCTCCTCCTGCCAGCCCAGTTGCTGCCGCCGGGCCTCCTGCATGTCCCTGCTCTGCCGGCCCATGGGCTCCCGCCAGGCCTGCTGCGTGCCCGCCTCGGCCCCGAAGTCCTGCTGCTGACGGGGCACGTCCCCCCCGGGGCCAGCTGGGCACTATGGGGGACCCCAAGCTCTCACCCTGCCTCCTTCAGGATTTAACCCAGTACAAGCTCCGGTGCACATGTCCCCATGAACCATCTTTGGACCCTAATAACTGGGGCTGAGCCTGTCTGCAGCCTCCACATCACACCCAGATGACCTGAGACAGCCCTCCCCTGCTATTGACAGACACGGCCTCCTGCCCTGTCTCTGCCCCTCCTGGAAGCTGTTTGCCTCCAACCCAAACACACATCTGATGCTAAATGAATAAACTTGCCTGGGCGCCTGGGTGGCTCAGTCAGTTAAGCATCCGACTCTTGATTTCAGCTCAGATCATGGTTTCAGGGTCATGAGATCAAGCCCCATGTTAGGCTCTGCACTCAGCAGGGAGTCTGCTTGGATTCTCTCCCTCCCTCTGCCCCTCCCCCCTAAAAATCAATCAATCAATCTTGCGTCCTTGCCTCTATTGGTTCTCTCTGGCAGCCTGGCTTTGTTTCATGATTTCCAAACCTCCAGGCTAACATAACCCTGGCAATCCTGCTGACAAGCCCATCCTGGGAGCATTTACAGCGGCACTGAGCTGAGGCCCACCCTGGTGGTCCAGGCAACTCTGGGGTAGCCCCGCCGAGTGTTCAGGACTCAGGTGGCCCACAGCCACCTGGACAGCAGGCCCCTTGGCAAGAGGGCCCCGTTGCCCCAGGCCTCCGTCTCCCTGGTCGGTCTAGCACCAGGAGGCAGGGCCCAGGTTCGCTTCTGGGCTAGGAGGAGGCTGGGCCAGGGCCTTCTGGGGCCACAGCTGGGGCGGAGCATTTCTGCTGACCACCAGCCTCCTGAGTCTATCTCTCCATCTCCCCTTGAACTTCAGGGTTTTATTCCAATGTCCTGATGCTGCCTGTCTGCCGGCACAGGACAGGGACATGCCCTGTCCCCAGCCCCAGGCCTGGCCCGGAGTGGCAGAGGTCAAGAGGGAGACGCCAGAGGATAAGCGACTTCGAGGGCCCACACTGGCGTCTGAGGCCCAGGACTGCTGCCCTCTGGGGGTTTTCCCTCGAGGCCAGTCTGGATGGGGCCCCCACGTTCCCTGGAACTTCCTGTACTCAGGCCCCACTCCTAGACAGAGTCACTTCCTAACCTACAACCCCCTGCCTCCATTCTCCCCAGTGCTTTCTCCGGCTCTAGACCCTACCCTGTTACCAGCATACACCCTCCCTCCCAGGAGGCCATGAAATCCTGCAAGCCATTCCCCAAAGGGAGGGAGTCGACAGTGAACAGCCCCCCCCCCCTTAGAGTAAGCCTTCTTCCTGCCCCTGCCTCCCTGGGGCCCCTGCCCCTCCTCCCTCGTGGGACCCTGCTATGGAAGAAAGCCCTCCTGCTGCAGCTCCTCCCCCTGCCAGGAAGCCTGCGGTGCGTCTGTTATGGGGGCCAGAAACCCCTGGGAGTCTGCCCACCATGAGCTCCTCTAGGTCTTCTGGCCAGCTTCTCCTGCCCCCAAACACCAGTGCCCTGGGGAAGGCCCCGCCTGTGTGCCTTAACCTCTCCCGCCTGCTGCTGAAACCCACAGGCCCCTTGTCAGAAACGTGTATTGAAATGTGTCAAATACAACACTCCAGATTTCAAGGGGAGATAATTGTGTGAAAACACAGTTATCAAAATACTTTTAAAGCAAATGATGCATTGAGATGCAGGCTTCTCCATGAAGGCACTAAGAAAGGGGGGGAGCAGGTTCTCATGCAGACAGGAGCAGGGTACACATCTGTAATGGGGTGCAGGATGCTGGTGGCTTCGTTGGTGACCGTCCCCGTGCTGCCAGGGTGGTAACCCGCATCACCTCTGCATTCCTCATGGTAGCTGGGTCTGCGTCAGGGTTAGGAAAAATTCAGGGCGCTGAATTCCACCGCCAACGCTGCAGGGAGCCCACTGCTCACTCAGGGAAAGCACACACCTGGCCAACAACAGCCCGCTTGAACCAGAAAGGAGCCCCAAAAGCCCAGCCTCCTGAACTACTGCTCTGCGGGGACATCAGCGGCAGTCTGTCCCCAACACCGGTGCCCTTTCCCTGGGGCGACCCCCAGACACGCGACAGGCGGGACCCCCAGCCTGCTGCACCCTGGCCGGTCACCCCCGGACAGGGGATCTGCAGCCCTGCGCCGGGTGCGGCTCAGAGGGACGTCCGAGCACCTGGATGCTCAAAGGCCCAGCGGGGCGTCCACACCGGTGAGACAAATGTTACAGCGGGGGTCGCCCCAGGTTCTCCCCGCGGCGCGCGTGCATGCACGCTCATAGACGCTCACACGCTTGTGGGTGCACACATTCACGCTCGCGGGCGCACACCCGCCTGCCGCCGCCCGCTCCTCCCGAGCTCCCTGCGGTCTGCGTCCACCCGACCCCTCCCGCCCCGCCCCTGGACGCCTCCCTCCGGGGCCTAGAGGCACCATCTAAGCTCCATCTAAGCAGGGTACCGGCTTCCGCGGCCGAATTCCCCCTCCCTCCGATTTCCGAGCACGTGGGGCATCAGCGGGGTCCCGCGAGGGTCGCGGAGCCGCTTGCTCACTGAGCCCCATGCCCCGGGCGCATGCTCCTTCAGGCGAATCCGCGGGGTTAGGAGGCGGAGGGTAATATCCAAGGACCAGGTCACCCATCGCTCCCCCAGACTCTGGGTGGGGAGAGAGAAGTGGGCGCCCTCGTGCCCCCTAAGCCAGGAGCTCAGAATCCACCTAGGAGGACTTGGGGGGGGCGGAGGGGGGATGAGGCGGGGCTAAGGCGGGTGGGGCGGGGAGGGCCCGGGAACTGAGCGTCCCGGGTTCTGCGCTGGGGGGAGGGAAGGGAGTGGGCAGCTGGGGAACCAAGTCCAGACTAGAAGCATGCCTGGGGGCTTGCTGATTTTACTGTGGGAAAGGCCACCTGTGAATACATGATTAGCCCTAAAGATCAAGTCAGAGAACCTGCATACAGCGTATGAGGTTCCAGGATAAAAATGAATATTCTTTGTTTCCTAACTTTTGTGCAAACAAAAAAGTGCCCAGGCCTAATGGGTGAGAATTTTTAAAAACGAAAGTCAGCGTCAGGGTGACAGAGCCAGGCTCCCCTGGTGGCACTGGGGACCCCCAGGTTGGGGCACGGCCTCTTCTGCGCTGGGGATTGAGAGGGGTGCCTGTCTCTGAGATGGGGGGGACAAAGGTGAGGGGTGCGGTGGGGTCTCCTGCAGAGGACAGGTCGCTGAACCTGCACATACGGACTAAATAAAAAGCCTCAGCACGACCAGTGTAGAGACAGTCTGCCCCCCACTGCAGCAGCCCCCCGCTGCCTAGCGCTGCGCGAGGCCTGGCCTGGGGGTGCGGAGCTTAGATGGGGCCTGGAGCCCCGGCTGCCACATTCCGCCCGGAGGCCCCCCGCACCCCGCGGGCCGCGCGCTCCCGGCTCAGAGTGGGAAGCCGCCCAGAGCGCGTGGACAAAGGGCGGCTGGGACACAGAAACAGTCCCCACTGCCGCAGGCTGAGAGGCTCACGCCTGCTCCTAGGGGCCGCCAGGAGGGGGCGTCGTGCCCACACAGAGTCTCCCAGGAACCCGCGTGGAGGGCCTCGCGGAGGGGCCAGGGTTCCCCAGGACTCAGGCTGAAAAGCACCACCCTCCTGCAAGCTTCCGTTAGAGAAGCCTGAGGACAAAGTCGGTGGCTCCTGAGAGCAGCCCAGGCGGTGGGGGGAGGGCTTCCTGCCCCCCAAATGCAAAAGAGGCCTGATGCTGCCCCACACTGCCAGACAGCTTTTAAAGATTTTACTTATTTATTCATGAGAGACAGAGCGAGAGAGAGAGGCAGAAGGAGAAGCAGGCTCCCCGCTGAGCTGGGAGCCTGACGCTGGACTCGATCCCAGGACCCCGGGATCATGACCTGAGCCGAAGGCAGATGCTTAACCATCCGAGCCACCCAGATGCCCTGCCAGACAGCTTCTAAAATGCACATCTGTTCCCGTCCTGTTGTGGATACTTTCTCCAGGGATGAAGGGCTCCCCATAGGCACCCAGACCCGGAGGTCTGAGCGCCCCACCCACTCCTGCACCCAGCCCTCTGGGGTTCCCTGCCCCCACCCTGAAGTTTTCCTCCTCTGAGGCCCCCCTGAGCCCCTCCCACGCTGGGGGAGGAGGCCACTGCCAGGGCCTCTCTGGGCTGGTGGCTGGCAGAGCTGTGGTCCGAGCGAGGTGCAGGCTCCACCACTGGGGATGGTGGGCACAGCACCGTCCCTGCCCAGGGACTGAGCGAATGAAGGAGGCAAGAAGGGGTCAGTGAAGGGATGCTCTTAGACCAGGGTCTGAGCGTCACCAAAGCCGAATCCCAGTGAGGAGCCCACCCGTGAGTGTTCGCGGGATATTGATATCCCCGGGCGCACCAGGCGCAGATGAAACGGAAGGCAAGACATTGTGACCCTGCCACCCGGCAGCAGCTCAGAGCTGTGCTTCCTACACCTCCCCTGCACCCCCAGCCCCTTGGAGCCAGCCGACCAGTGACCCCAGCCCGGGAGGGTCCAGCGTAATGTGCATAATGTGCCCAGCATGGCTCCCACAGACTCCCACCGCCCTGGCCTCCTGTCCCCGTGCAGATGAGCTGGGTGTGGGATGGATGACATTTCCCCAGCATCACCCCTCCCCACCCACAGCTGCTGCTCCCCCTGATTCGAGCCCACGTCTGGAACACAGCCCACCCAGGTGTCTCCCCCAGCACAGCCCCAGCCAATTCCTGGCACCACACACACCATGCAGCCCAGAACCACGGATGTCCAAAAGGAGCTAGGAAGGATCGGAGGGACCCATATCTCAACCATTTTGTCCCGAAGTCGTTGGCCCAGCTCAGTGGAGCAGCTGAGGGGTCCGCGGTCAGAAGACTAAGGCTGGCTCCTGGGGTCAGGGAGGCCAACAGCTTATAAAAGGCATCTCACCGCAAAATCCTGCCTGCCATGCTCATCCCCCAGGGAGCCCACCCCAACACCCTGCA